GAATCCTATAAATTGATAGCCAATTTGTTTTTAAATGCATAACAAAGCAATGTTCCACAGACAATTAAGTTTATTGAAAAGTATTGAAGATAAGGTCTATAATTGCCTGTTTCAAAATCATATCAAGCATAATTGCCCAAAACAGTCAGTATGGTACGGAGGAGTTCGGATGTCGGCAGCGTCATCCATGCATGGGTGCTAAAACGGCCATCCTGATATTTTTTTGTTTAGTAGGTAAAGAATGTAAGTTAAAAGTGGTTTAAGTACTATGGAAAATCGGATTTTTTAATCTGTTAGTGCCTTTTATACTTCGAACGGACAGAGCGATTCCAAAATAATTTTACACTTTCACAAAAAAATCTAAATACTCCAAATTCACACGCTTCTTGTACATTCTTTATTCAAAAAAAGGCGGTAAGTAATTTGTAAGATTACACTTCACTACTAATTAAACAGTAGACATCCAATCAAAATCAGCTATTTTTTTGCTCTTTTACTAAAATCAATCTGAGCTGCGAGTTCTAAAACGAATTTTAGCTAATTGAAACACGAGTAATTAGCTTTGAGCCATCGGATTCGACAATTAAGTAAGTAATTACGAAATCTCTTATAACAAACGATCTTTCTTTCGAATTAAGGATGCTTTTAAACAAGAAACAAGTGGCCTTTTATGGTAGCTTGATGGTAAGCAACAAGACACCAGAGGAGTTAGGGATTCGTAAATTGGGGATGGAGGGAGGAGGGAGGAGGGTGTCCTGGCTACAAGAAAACGATCTAGAACAAGAAAAAGATGTTTTTGCCATGGCCATGTATGTATAATATATAAGGCTATCTATTCTATTGAATGTCGTGTGGTGACTACTAGATCCGATTCCTGAACAGAAGATGTTAACGGAGACCGGGCAGCTATGCTTATTGATATACCTTTTAAATCGCGATATCTATGATTACCCCATCTATACTAATATTATAAAGAGGTAAAATTTGTTAATTTCTATGTAGGGGGTAATCTTTGGCACCGCTGGTCGAATGGCCGAAATTCTTTCACTGATCGACAGCTACAATGTTCCTGAGTGCTATAGGCTATAAAACATCACGCTATGTCAAATGAAGCCGAGCAACGGGTGAAACCGCGTGAGAATAGTAGATTATATACCCGCACTGGTGATAGCAAAAGTATTCTCCGTTTAGAAGCACATTAAGAATCATTTGAGTTGAATTAGTCGAAACAATTATGAGTCTAGACTGATGTAAAAAATAAAGGCACGCGGCACGCCTGACTCGGTTGGAGTCCAATAACAAGTAATTTTCTCATTGACTCTCAATGAATAAACTAAATACGTCAAACTGGATGCTGTAAACGATTTATTGACGATTTTATGAACCGCAAAGCTTACTTTAAAAAGTCAAAACATTTGTTTTATATACATATAGGTATATAACACGGAATGTTAGTATATAAACAAGGTTATGAGTAGATGGTGTTGCGGTGTAAGCGCAATAAGGTGCCGCGGCCTCGGCGCTCCAGCCGGCTGGAGAAGGAACGGGATGGGTTTTAGTCAGTAAGAGTCTGACACTCCCTCCAGCCCGACCCTGGGCGGGGGAAGTAATTTGACGATTTTCCCCTCACAAAAAAAAAGCCAGGATTTGCAGTACCTAGACACAAGGAAGGACACAACCATGAGAACACCGAAACACGATAACCAGGACATTAATGACTAAGGCCAGATCTACAGAAACAATTAGTGATCGATGAATGACTCCCTGATACAGCATCAATAAAAGATATTATTGGTGTGGTTGCTGATACTGTTGTAATGATAATACTTATTATTTAGATAAGTTGTACTAACGTGATCTTACTTTATTGGCGAATTACTGAGAACCATTTCAGACAGTGAATAGTTTCTTCTGAAACCTCGACCGCCGACTTAAAGAAGAAATTCTTTATAACAAACGAATATCGAATACGGCATTGCTACATATTTAACGTGTTATATTTTAGTTAGGCAAAGGTGCGGATCGCTAGCGCAGTCTCTGGTCTCATCTAAACACAGCATCAGCACTGTTGATAAATATTCCATAAATAAACACTACATAATTCAAAGTAAAAATAAATACTTGCTAAGAGGACATTAAGATATTATAGTAGGTATGATAACTATTCTGCTATGCGTAATAACTTCCCAATAGTATAATATTAGCTGGGGTCGCGGGTTAAGACCAACATGGTAGCACGGTCTAGGCACAGAGCGAGAGAAGGAACGGGGGAATTTTAGTCAAAAGTCTCGCCATACCCTGGGCGAGAAAACAGTCATGCTCGCAAAGAGAGAGGCAGCCCGCGTGAGGGAGCAATCCTCCTGCTCCTCACGCCCCAGCAGCCGCAACTGGCGACACTACGGGCGTCGGGGATCAAGGGACGATCTCCGGCCACCGTAAGCACAGGCCTGCGGTCGGCGAGTAAGGGCAGCTCGCCGCCCGACCAGAACCAGGCCCGAGCATACGCGCGTAGCGTTCCGCGCGCGCCTCAAAGAGCCAACAGACCACCACAGACGGGGCCCTAAAGGGCTGATGTTCAGCAGGGGTTGCAGGGTAAGCGCAATCAAAAAAATCGCGACCTCGGCCCAGAGCAGGAGAAGGAACTGGGGGGTTTTTAGTCAGTAAGAGTCTGACACTCCCTCCCGCCCGGCCCTGGGCGGGAGAAGTCATTTGATGATTTTCCCCTCACAAAAAAAAAAAACCCTGGTCGAGCGAAGTGACTTGATGATATTTCCTACACAAAAAAATGTATAGTATAAATAATTACATGTTCATTTAATTGTTTATTGCAAAGTTGTGAATCAATATTTGCGATATTTGAGGACCACCCTAACTTTTTTTCTTGAGGATTATAAAGTACGACCTTCTTTGTCAGGGGAAATCATCTGATGACTTCTCCCGCCCAGGGTAAGGCGAGAGAGAGTCTCAGACTCTTACTGACTCAAAACCCCCCCGTTCCTTCTCCTGCTCTGGGCCGAAGGTCGCGGTGCCTCATTTCGCTTACATCGCAACCCCGGCTGAACATCAGCCCTATTGGGCCCCGTCTGTGGTGGTCTATTGGTTCTTTGAGGCGCGCGCGAAACGCTACGCGCCGTACGCTCGGGTCTGGTTCTGGTCGGGCGGCGAGCTACCCTTGCTTACTTACTTACCCGTCCGCAGACCTGCGCTTACGGTAGTCGGAGATCAATTCTCGATCCCCGACGCCCGGAATGTCGCATAAAGCACGACCCTGCACTGCGATTTTCTCCTGTGGCGTAGGTGCGTTTACAAGTTGTTCCGTGCGGGATAGCGGAAACCGAAATGAAACCACACTGCTACTGTCCATTCTAATATTACTTATATGTGTACTATTCAGTACTAATATAATAACAAAGAAGAGATTTTTGTTTGTTTAACACGCTAATCTTCGGATTTTTTGATTCGCAATCGAACAATTGCTGTTGTGTTTGATAGTCTATTTATCGAGAGAGGTTATAAAACATCACGCTACGACCAATAGGAGCAAAGCAGTGAGTCAAAGCAAGTAGCTAGTATAATGTACAAATTGTACAATTTTTATACCAGTGATATCAATCCCCCTATTAACGACACGCCCTGTACATTATAAAAAAATTCTTTCAGAACACAGTTAATAGATGCAACATTATTCTTCACATTTTGCAAAGGATTGTATATTCTGTGTATATGTTACATAATTACTAATTTTGCTTAATTGTAACACTTGCAAATAACTTCATAATGCGGACAGTTAAACAAGTGTTTCATAATTAATTATTAGCTCATGTTAAATTTGTAGTTGCATTACTGGGTAAATAACCCAAATTGTTATATTTTTAGAAGATTATATTCTATCTAAAGCATATAATTAACATTGGTGAGATACAAGTAGGTAATAGTGATATACATAGGTAGCAAGATGTTTTTATGAGGCAAAAATAATTTAATAAATTCTCTTGCCTAGAGTTTGACCACACAATTGGCGCGAGGGCTGGGTAACTGGTTGCGGCGCAAAATGTCGCGGGTTCGATTCCGGCACGGAACAACTCTTTGTGTGATTCACAAATTGTTGTTCCGGGTCTGACTGTGCTGTGTATGTGAAATTCTATGTTTGTAAACGCACCGACGATACAGGAGAAAATCCTAGTGTTAAGCAAGGTTTTTTTTAAAAATAAAGAAAACGTGTGGCTAGAGGGAGTGTTATACTGACTAAAAACGCCCCAATCCCTTATCAGGCCGAAGCTGCGGTACCTTTTTGCGCTTGCCACGCAGCCCCGGCTCCCGTCTATTTGTTGGTTTTATGTTTCCAAGCATAACTACCGAACGATGGGTCTAGTAACCTATACACATGCAAATTTCAGTTCAGTTTCAGTTGCTTGTACCATATAATTAATATTATATGGATCAATTATTGTCAAATATCTTAAAACAATAAGGAAGAACAATAATTCCACACAGTATAAGCTCAGATATCTTACATAAAAAATAAAGTCTGTTAAAAATTTGGACAAGTTGAGACATGTTTAAATTAAAATTCTAAATCAAGTCAATGATGTAATTCTAAATAATTCCTGATCTTAATTTCTTATCTGAACCTAAGGTCAATGCAGTATATCAACCTCTTTCATTTGTCATTTGCTTTTTAATTTATGTCTAAATATAATGTAGATCTCATACTTTAATTTATTAATTGATTTGTATGAAACTGTTTGCCATTTTCTTGATGTTTAACTATGGTTATAGGAATAATAAAACTCAGTTATTGATTTCTTATTACAAAACAGATAAAGTTAATTTTAATACCTACTCAGCATATATAGTAAATATTATTTTCTTAATTAATAAAATTTCCTATTGGATTAATCAAAAGGTTCTTATTAGGAGGAGGCGCACAAAAATCTATCCATTTTAATTTAAAACCAACCTTGAGGAATGAGTATTAATAATCAAATAAAAGCACTTACTTTTAAGTATGTTGTCAAGTACTGTATATAGAGTTTTCTCCAACTTAAGATATTCAGTGTCCTCATTGACGGGCCAATCACAGGATAAGTTCCAGTCCACAATGTCAACATTCTGGCCCGAGTCTTCAGGGACTGTGTACAACCTGGGAACAAAGGCAAATATATGTTATAACTTATCTATACTAATATTATAAAGCTTAAGAATTTAGTTGTTTGTTTAAACACACTATTCTCCAGAACTGCTGGTTTGAATTAAATAATTATTTTAGTTGTAAGTACATTTATTGAGGAAGGCTTTAGGCTATAAAACATCACACTAGGATTTGTAGCAGCCGAGCAGCAAGTGAAACCGCGCTACAGAAGCTAGTAATGACTAACACTGTTTAACTACCTAAGCATACAACAAGACTGTTAGGCCAATAAGGGCTATAATTGTACATTTAAAAAAGGGGATTATTGCACACTACTGAACAACCTTTAAATATGATTTCTATACAAATTTTATAGGTTTTATATGAATACAATATGTGTTATATCTTGTAGAAATAATAGTAAAATAATTCATCATTTGGATTTTTATAGTCAAATAAATTGCCTGCAGAACTCTGTCTTTGAAAATAACCTTAATGAGTTTTTTGTACTACATAAAATTTCCTATTGTTTATAATGATAATAAGATTTTATCACTGAACTTATCATAACAATTAAACTGCAATATATGTCAGTTGGACTTGTACCTACAATGTTAACAATCTTATCAATTTCGATAATTTTCTAGCAAGTACTTGAAATAAATAACTTATGTTTATTTCATAATACGAAAATAAAATGCAACAAAGCACTTTTGCATGTTGATATTCAAAGGTTGATAGGCATATATTTTGCAAATCATCAAGGTTCTATATCTTACTATGTTTTTTGAAAATAAACATAGTTTTGCTACCAACTACTTTGAAGTTGATTTGTCCTTTAAACAAGAGTTTTTTAAATACAGTGTTCAAAATAACTCAATCCTTGTAAATACTGAGTATCAGTCAAATATAGCAAGTGTAAAAAAACTAATAAGAAAAATGGTGAGAGACAAATTATTAGAGATAATATAGGTAGTCGTTTTTTTCCACTGTTAATCAATAAACAGATTTGAATTTGAGGGTATGTTGATAAAATTAAATAGATTGTTAGATGATATAAACAATAATGTGGTAGCAGCGATTTTAGATAATATTTACATTGACACATATAAATAAAATCACACTTAGTTTTATTGGGGTAACCAGAAACTACAGAGTGAAATCCGAAATGATATAAATATTAAACTTTTTTACTTCCATCACATGCATATTATATGGTCTGACTAGGTAGCCAGTTAAAAGTCAGGCAGCAAGTAGGTTAATAAGAAAATAGGTCTGATCAACAATAAAAACAATACAGATTAAAAATGTTTGTTTTTTTTGTCAAATTAGTTATATTGACTGTAGATTGTAGGTGTGGTATTCTATGTGTGGGCTTTAGACATTACATGAATAATGCCACCACAAAATCGTGTTTCTGATGTCATAACATATTAGCAGACACATTTTACCTTTCATCAGGTAAAATGAGCATGTACAAAACAAAATAACAGTTGGAATTCAAAGGTGAATCATATTTGAAAAAATGAAGGCAATGTGTGCAAGATGGTTATGTTAAAATACTGGTTCGAGTGGTTAGACTGGAAATAAATAACTTGACGATTAATTGGAACAGGCTGAATGAAACCATCGAGACACAAATGGTGCTCTGACATGTCGACCGGACGAGACATACATGACCCCGTACTTTTTACGCTCATACAAACTCACAAATCCTGATTCTCTTACTTAAATCCTCTTCAATGGTACTCACCATGTCTGATCATCGGAATAATCCAAAGATTCCACGTCGATCAGATCAGAATCAAACATATCTTTGTTTATATTTTGATCAACCTGATTCATAATACCAATAATAACGAGACATCAATTTGGCACTTTAAACAAATCACATATAAATTTCACGCAAGAACTACATTTACTATAAGGGATACTGTAAATATTTATTAAGAAAAAAGATATAATAAGAACCAACACGAAATTGTCCCAGACAAGTTTTAGTTTGGAATTTGACATATCACCATAGAGCATATGCCAAAAAAAGGATGAAGAAATGAAAGAAGTCAACGGTAAAATTCATAGACTAAAGAGTTCTTGAAAAAGGGGTTTGGTTTAAAATTTATTGACTCTTAATAAATTTTATTATTGAATCTTTACTAAATTATTCGTATGCTTATAATATTTTAATTACTGAAAGTTTTTGTTTTTATTGATAATACCACAGACAGCAAGTTTATTTTGTCTATGGCTGTTAGTGTTAACAATACTAAAAATTTGAAAATAAAAATGGGAAAAACTAATCAGTGAATCTTTAGCACTACTCCAGAGCCTATAACAGCAAAATTACGAGAACTGATTTATGTATTGTAAATGTAATCTAGCACTTACACAGCAGTAACTAAAATAGTACTTCAAACCATCAAGAAACGGGCGTAGGTACTCCTTCTTAAATGGCCGGCAACGCACCTGTGACTCCTATGGTACAGCGGATATCCATGGGCGGCGCCGGTCGCTTACCATTAGATGATCCGTCAACTCGCTTGCCTTTTTCCGTAAAAAAGTAACTGAACAAAAATCAACAATCAAAACTGAACAAAAATATATATTTGTCATATAAATTCTTGACAAGTAATTTCAATTATTATTCTTCATTCATTTCTTTACTTCAAATTAATTTTATAAACGAAATTATGCCGCATCCAGATTGAAAAAGTCACACTTTACAAAATATAACGGGGAGTATCATATTAAGAAGTGGCAATATTAAATTTGACAGTGACGTTTGACATTTGCATAGACAAATTTCTTCTTTCCTTTTGTCTACGGACACGTTGTGAGCACGTTGTAATTGGTGTAGTTTTAAGAATAAAACTGCAAAATGTCGTCGCATCTTAACTGGATGATCATCCGCAACAACAACGCCTTCCTGGTGAAGAAGCGTAACATTAAGAAGCCGTTCAGCAAGGAGCCTAACAATGTGACTAACCTCAACTCATACAGATACAACGGTCTGATCCAGAAGAAGGCTGTTGGCGTCGTCGAGAATCCCGACAGGAAAGGTTTCACAGTTGTATACAAGAAGGCTAAGGCTACAAACAAGCCTGCCAAGAACGCAGTCCGCCGTCAGTTCAAAGCCGGCGCGAGGAGATCGCTGTACAAGGTAAAGAGGTTGTTGAAAGCCAACCACTACCGCACTGACCTCTCCAAGGCTACCCTCCGTCGTGCATCCGCCATCCTTCGTTCACAGAGGCCCATCAAGGCGAAGAAGCCCAAAGCTGCGGCCGCTAAGACCGAATAAATTAATGTAAGCTGACAATAAAAAAAATTTAAAACCCTAGCTCATCTTCTTATTTTAAACATCCTTCTGATCAGTAAATAGTTGTATTCTATGAGTTTATATCTCTTAGTTGATCACCTTGGTTTATTTACTCCTTGTGGCCAATTTGTGTTGTGGTGTAAGGTTATGTTTACAACTAAGTAATTTTTTCTTCAATTTTTGTTCAATGATATTTCTTGCATTCAATTTAGTTTGACCCTTAATAACTAGGCCATATAACTCTTAATAATACCAAATAAATTATATGTGAGAAGACAGTACCATCTAGGGTCAATATTAGCTTCATTCTATTCGGGAATGAACCACTCTTCGTTAGAAACTATATATATATATCAAATTTAAGTATGTTATGTCCTTGATATTTGAAATTTGGTCTTATTATTATTTGGTTTAATATTCATTGTCTCAAATTACCCCTGAAATTTTTGATCTGCGATCTGTTGAAATGCAGATTAACACAAAAAAACAGTTATTAAATGTGTTGGGGTAGCAGTGAAACCAGTTAGCAAACAAGCAGCAGCAATTTTTTCTATTACATGAGAATTCCAACTTGATGGGAAGACAGAAAAATAAAATAAAAGTTGCACCAATACAATTTATTGATAAAACATAATCATGATTTTTGTATTACAATACAAACAAGGAATGTTCAAACTTGTTCTTGTAACCCTGGTTTACAATATTACCATAGAAGTCACACATGATCTCGATGGTATCAATAAATGATATCTAAATAAATCACACTCGGACATCAAATGCAGTGCTTTCTTAACCACAAAGTTTAGAATGGGGCTATACCGTAGAGTCTACTAACCATTAGGCACTAATATAGTATGAAGTCACATTAGTCCTGAAGTAATAATACATTTATGACCAACTACCTACTCTCACGCAGTTTCACCCACTGCTCCATTTGATCGTAGCGTGATGTTTTATAGCCTTAGCACTCAGGAACATTGTAGCTATCTACCAGTGAAAGAATTTTGCCACACCCAGCGGTTCCAAAGATTACCCCCTACATACAAACTTACAAATTTTACCTCTTTATAATATTATAGTATAGATGATAACACATAGTTTATTGGAAAAGAGACTTCTTGCCACACTAGTGATCCTGGCAGTAAACACTTGTGGTAGCCCTCATTAATTGCTTATAAATAATAATGTTCAATATTCCAGTTTCCATATCACTATTTACAATAGATAGGTATCACAAATATTTCATACATCAAAAATGTAAAGAATAATTATTACATTATTTAATTCACATTGTAATATGATACTAGACATGATTGGGTGGTCAATATTACGATTAAAATAAATTACAAAATTGGTCTATAAATCTATACAATTTGGTTCACTAAAGGGACAGAATAATAAATAATTTCATTTTATGGGGATCATGAGCAAAATATCTCAATAAGCATATATTTAAATATTTTCGGAACATTTAACTATACACACTGCACAAATACTATGAGCAAATTTTTTTAATTCACAAGTTAAGTAAAATGGACATTCTCATGAATTTTTACAAAAAGACTAACATTTTTTATTTTACACAAATTCAATTATGAACATTAATTCACTACTAGGACTATACTAAGGACTAAGAGACAGCTTTGCTTTAAAAGTTGCCTGGAATAAGTAATCTAGACACTTCAAAGGTGTAAAAAGCGATTTGTCATCTAGTATAGGGGGGGTAGTTCTGTGCCTACGAAAAGCCTCAGGTACAAAATACATAGTAAACATGAAAATAAAAGGCACAAACATTTAACCTATCATTACCAAAGGCACAATACACCAAAATTCATACATCAATATTTACATTTCTACCAAATGAAATTGTCACGTTAATTTTTATACTTGTGTAAAATGCCTAACTAAACATATATATTATGATTATTATCAATAAAATTGCTGCCAAACTCTTCTTAAATTTTTAATTAGCTACTTCAGTATGTTAGCGTTTTGCTATGCTATCCAATTCCTAGGTTTTCAAGTCAGCTTTTATATTTCTCCTTACCACTTGTTCAGTAAGTCCCAAGAAAATGACATAACAACTATACTGATATATAGTATTGAAAAGCCATGCTATGCTAGGGACAACCATGTTGACATTCAGTCATGGCCAATCACAACATTCTTATGTTAAAAATTGACCAATCAAAAAGCATTAAGTACATGGTGTTATGTGCAGTTAGCGTGACTAATATCAGTATACTTATTTTATTCACTCCATACACTCTTCTACTGAGCCCCAAAGTTATTAGTCTCTTCCTGGCAGTGTTAAATGGAATACAAATTCTTGCCTGAAAGGTTGTTGTAAACATCTTCATGGGGCAATTTCGAAATTTCTTTACAATAACAATTTTGATATTTATGTGGTTTATTTGGACCACTCCAATGTCTACGTGCAGTAATGATATTAATAATTTAGATTTTTAACGTCATTAGCGCATTTCGCAGTGGCTAAAAACATTAAAGACATTTTACATGTCTCAGTGCAGGGATCAGAAATAGAAGGAGTTTTCGTGCATAGAATTTAAACAAAAATTTGATACACAATACAAGTGAAGTATAAAGTGATGTGAAAATACTAGAACAATATACAATTAGTTATTATAAACACGTTCACTACTACAAGCTCATGACATTATTACATAGACGCGTTGACATTTTCATAATTTATTTATTTTACAAATTTCATTTTATTTTTTTCCCATTTAGCTATCTAAACACGTAACCTAATTATAGGCACATTAATTTATTCTAATAGTAATTTTATATCTTTTAGACAATTTGAGAAATAAATGTTTGTTCAGGGAGAGAAGGCAGTGGGTACAAATTCAATGTACGTCAACATTATTGTCAGGACTAAAAATTATTACAAAATAATACTGGTGCGGTGTAACTGCCTTACACAATTAATTACAGAATACTTAAAATAATAGAAAAAATGACTGGTATTTCGTTCAAAACATTTCGAACACAAATAAATCAGTCAATAACTTACGTTGGGTCAGTTTTGTATGCTACTAAATAATACTTAAAATCAAATACAATTTCATAAATACGCCAAAACACTAAAAGAAATAATGACACAAAATAATTTATCTACTATACTAAGGGAACCCTTAAATTGATTTGTGCATACGAATTAGAATGTTAGTTCTAATAAACTAAAACCTAAGTTGACTAGGATACAAAACTAACGCTATGTGATACTTAAAAATAGTTTGTACATAGTAATTGTAAATAAGTTACAAATATTATGGCGATATATTGTTTGAGAAGGTACATTTTGTCGTTTGGAAAGAAGATATTGGACTTTTGAAACACATTTCAAAGAGAGGAGACCTTGTTTAAGCTGCCGTACCCTTCCCGATAGATTCTCATATACTCTTATTCCTAATTCCTTCATACTGCAGTATGAAAAATTTTATTTAGGAACGCAATTGTAACGTTTACCTACCTACCTATACGCAGTTCTTAAAGTTGTAGTGATGATAAAATCTTATTTAAAAGTGTTGTATGTAGATAAGTATGTTCAATCTACTTACATTTTAACACGATTTTATCTCGAATCTAGTCCATTGAAATACCAGATATTTCCGAAATGTTACGTCCTTTTAAGATATGGCCACACCACACTAGGATTGTCTCCTGTGTCGTAGTTGCGTTTATAAACACTTTAAAAAATAGATTACACTCAAAACTGAAAAAAAACAGGTCGTGGATCACCCAAATAATTCCGAAACGATATTACGACTTTCAAAAACCATAAGTAGCAAACTTGTATGATCCACATACGACACAAGAAAATCCTAGTAGAAAACTACCAAACAACGTGATGTACTGGTTTGAAAAGCAGCTCAAAAGTCCACTCTCCCTTTAAAACAAATTTCAATTCATATTCATAATGCTTGTAAATTATTCTGATATAGTACAGAAATGACTAAATGCTTAGGTAATTTAATATATACCTAAATTATATTACATAAGACTTGTTTTTGTGTACAGTAAGCAAACTTGTGCGTAACATTGAAGGAACATTATTCATCCAATAACAAATCAAATAACAGATTTATGAAACAACAAACTACCAAATAAGCGTTGACTTTCCCGTTCGAAATAATAAATATTTAAATTTATTATTTTTATTGTACAAATGGTAGACTTTTGCATATCAAACTACTATTTCTCTAATAGAATTTCAACCTTACTGTCTTAAAGTAAAGTTAAAAATCTTGGAGAGTTAAGTGTAGTTTGATCTGCTGAGGCCCTATACATACTTTTTAAGGGCCAGTGTAAACTTTTTGTACAGTAACTCTTTGCTGTTATAACTACTAGAAGCTCTTTGAACGTTTACAAAGGCCCTTACCAACTACCCAGAAAGATACACAAATATTTTTATATACATTATCATAATTGATATTATTAAAATTTGTTATAAAAGCGAAAAGTAACGCATAAATACCTGTAGTTTAGTTTCAAAGAGTAGATATAAAATAAATTCCTTCATTGCATAGTTTACTACTTGCAAGTGATGAGATATGAAAGTATATGTGTCGACCTTGGTTTGTACCTTGGACCACAATAAAATGACACTTAATTTATGCTTAAAATTATGACCGATCTTTTATATAGTACACTTGAGCAAGATTGGGCAAGATTTATTAATACAAGCGCCTTATTAAAATTGAATAACAGGCAAAAATGACATATTGAGTTTTCTTGCTATAATTTTTTGTGTAGGCTCGTAGAATATTCGAGAAAAGTTTAAAAATGAGTCCGAATCGACAGTTGTTTCATTAAGGTCATATATTTTAAACATATGCGATGATAATGGTGAACTATATCTACGAATGTTCGTTCAAAGACTCGATGAAAGTTAAAAACACGGATAAACACAACCTATGTCACAAAAAGCACCAAAAACTAAATAATGTGCGCTTGTTTTGTTCAACACATTCTGTGCATCATGGGGCTACATGCTTACTTCTAACATGATCATACATTCACATTTATGACGTCATCGCTATTACACAACATTCAATTCTATTCCTTCGACTTTTGAGCCGATTTTTGTGCACAAATGACCAGTTTATATGAGTCAATTTTCAATGTCATCGGTTTTACTGTCACGCTCAGAGATATTCAATGTTAAGTAGTCATTAAATGATTCTGAGTATGGCGGTAAGAGTTGTTAGTTAATTAATAAAGTGAGTTTGAGAAAAAAAATCTCGTTAAATAAATGCATCGTGGAATGCTATAGAATATTACTATTCACAAGCCAGTTTGCTGTCGAAAGAACTCAGCGCTATACCGAATGCTTGAAGAGCGCACAGAGGGTATCGGAAATCCATGGTGAAGATATCTTCGGATATACGGCCAAACTGCATCACGACATAATCAGGTTCCGAATCGTGGACAATTTGGAAATTTTTCACACTTGCCTGAGTCACTCGACCGTGGAAGTTTAACACGTAGGATTGAGTCTCATCGTTCCACACTGGAGTTTTGTTGTGAAGTACGACTATGTCATCCAAGGTCTGACTCTTCAGCCGTTCTAGAAGGGTCTCGCTGTCGTCCTGCGGTGCTATGGTGACGCGTTGGCGGTCCGGAGTCATTCCTGGAAGGATGACTGTCATCTTTCTTGGACCTTTGAAGCCGAGGACGTTTGTATCCTGGAAATGAATGAATTTCGTAATGTTTTATTATATTTTAACTTTGCTGCGCGCAAACTCTCGATTTTCATTTAAGTGGGTGCGAATTATAACTTGGCTGACTAGGAATAATGTGATTTTTGTCTTTTTTGAAAATGGAATACCGACATATTATAATTATAAATGACTTCTCCTGTATTAGCGAGAGTGTCATTTACTTACTAAAATTGCCCCAGCAACCCCGGCTGAACATTGGCTCTGTTAGACACTACCTATGAAGCTGATGAGATAACCACATGATAGAGAGGGATATATTAAGATTTAATGTCTTGTTGTAATGTGTGTATTGCACCAACACATACATAAAACCCAGATACGAAAAAAAAAAGTTTTTGTTTCCGATCAATATGTGAAGTCGCTAGTAACAACGCCAATGAGACAACTACACTATCTCAAAATGAAGGAATGCGTGACTAACTTACAGTTTGCTTGTAAGAATTAACCAACTGCTATCAAGTTTATTTGTTTGTCTGTTTGTCAAGGTCAGTCTATGAATAAGTGACCATCGCCATAGTATACTTAAGGTAAAACCGATCGATTTTAGGATGTTTTTGCGATATTCAAACTTTAAGGGTTATTGGTTATTAAAAGTGTATAACTAGTCATAGGCTAAAAGTAAAAAAAGTCAAAAATCATTAATTCCAATTAGAACCTTACAGGCACTTTTGAACGTCAGACAAAATTTTGAATATATAGTGTCAGTCTGTCGGTCAGTCCTCTTAGTGAAGCTATTTGCTCGTTCCAAAGTGATGATGTTCCGATGGAGAGGAACGAGCAAGAAACTCCATTAAATAAACTCAAGAAATGATTTTAGGAGGATTAAATACAACGTAACTGCTGCTTCACGCCTGTACTCTGTAAGGCCGTGGTATCTCTCCAAACGAGCCGACCCATTCGTGCCGAAGTATGGCTCACCCACACATGACTTGCTCGATATATGTATAGTGGATAACAACTGCATACGATAGTCGATATATTACATCCTAAGAACGTGATATGAATCGTAATGCGCATTAGAATGTGGTGTGGATCGATTAGTATAATTATAACTATGTCTTGTATATGTTTATATGTCGTAGTAGGTGGTCTCTGATAGTTAGTTAGTTCTAACATATCGAATAAGAGTAACCGTAGAGTTTCTTCCTCATTCATCTATTTTTTGTATGTTATGGGTCGGCAAACGAGCAAACGTATTTCTTGGTGGTAAGTAATCAGCGAAGGAGTTACGAGTGCGTTTTAGAGATAAGGGTTTCGGATATTTAGGGATTGGGAAGGGATGGAGGAGGCGGAGAGATTGGGAATCCGGCGACCGCACACACGGCGAAAAAACGCTGTCGTCTTCATAGGAAACTATACTGGAACGAGCAAATAGTTTCACTAGAGGACCTACAGACTGACGCTTTATTTTTCATAATATTTTTTTTTGCCGTTCAAAGCGCCTATATTATTCTTATTGAAACAAATATTATTTAATTTTTACAGTTATGTCGGTACGTTTGTCAAGCACATTTTTACTAACAAAAGTATTATAAGCTAACCTAGTTGGTGACCGTGACCTTGGCATTTTAACTTGTGTCGTGGATGCTTATAATTATAAATGAACAATTTCATATACATCACCCTCATCATTTCAAAAGTACGAATTTAACTCGTCAATCCTGACTTTTCACAGCACAATTGGCGCGATGGCTGGGCTTGCTGTCGCGCAACGTGCCGAGGGGTCGATTCCCGCACGGAAAAACTCTTTGTGTGATCCACAAATTGTTGTTTCGGGTCTGGGTGTGGTGTGTATGTGAAATTGTATGTTTGTAAAAGCACCCACGGTAGGTACAGGAGAAAAAAATAACAAGCGGACGCCGGCATTGGTGCACCTATTGTCAAACTATTGTTATATAAGTATTATATATAAAGTATTACAATTCTTACAGCAAAACAAAACGTATACACTCAAATTTTCTAACACCCACTTATCACCCATGACTAACATGGCAACGAAACAGTAAAAACACGTAAACAAAGCGAATACGAAGATACGGATAAAAGAGCGTAAATAAAGCGTTAAATAATGACGTCACTCCTGTGAATAATTTGCTAGGATAACAGGCCTAACCGCAACTCCTTTGACAAACAAATACTGTACCACTTGTGGTAGACACCATTGGTTGATTTATTTAAACAAAACCTACGTCATGCTTTATATTCCTTCAAAGAACCCATTAGACGGAATTCCCCCCTGCTCACCCCTCCCTCCTATACCCAAATCCCCTATTCTAAAATCCCTAACTACCCGCAAAAGGCCAGTAACACACGCAACCTCCATGAACTGGTTCAACTCCTGTAAGCCAGGATCTATACAGTATCCACAACTATGTAAACACCGAAACACTGATATGTTCCAGAGACAAGAATGTCATGGATCTCGCAGCGAAATAAATCAGAATATATTAATAAAAGACATAAAGAAAATAAACTAAACAGTGTCCTCTACCCTCGGTCGGTACTCATCCCTACCCAATCCCAAAATCTCCGGAATCCTAAACCCCAAAAGGCTGGCCATGGACGGCGCCAATTGCTTACCTTCAGGTAATATCCGTCTGCTCGTTTGACGACCTATCATATAAATAAAGACATATAATCAATGATATTATAAGTAAAAAGGTGTAGATAGGTTACAAGCGCTCAGCAAGCGATACATTAAAATGTGGCTAACTAGCCACACTTTTTCATATTTGTCTCTTTTTCACTCGCGATTATTGAATCATGCCATCCCACTTTGACGTGTATCATATGCTTTATTCATGTGTGCATAAGTGTGCCGTTTTTGAAAATCGAATGTTGTTTATGTAACCTATCTATACCATTTTACTTATAACTAGCTACTCTCGCGCGGTTTCACATGCTGCTAGGCTGCATTTAATGGTAGCGTGATGTTTTATAGCATATAGCACTCAGGAACATTGTAGCTATCTATTAGTGAAAGAATTTTGGCAATCCGACCAGCGGTTCGAAAGATTACCCCCTACATAAAAACTTACAAATTTTACCTCTATAATATTAGTATAAATAGTATAAATATCATTGCATATAATGATGAGAAAGGTACTTACATAAACAACAGCAGCCAATTCGTGCCTAGTGTGAGCATGATCGTGTTTCCTCCACGCTTTGCCGTTGTCATACACTGTGAAAGCGGTACCAAGGAGGTTGGAACGTAGTTTCCCAGCAAAGCTGTCGGCCGTGCGAGTCAGTTCAGTAGGGTCTGTTGATATCAGGTAGTTCGATGTGGCTGATTTCTTGCGTTTTCGGGCTGTATGAAAAAATATATTCATAAATCATAATAGCTTTTATTTCTCTTATTATATATAGGTTCTAGAACTGTTTATTACCATAATACGATTTTGAAACCAATAAATTTATGTAAATATGTCATAAAACAGCACTTTTACACGTCACAATGATACACTTCGTTGAAAAAAACTATATATAGTCTGCATTTTCTATTTGACTCACAAAAATGTCTGCGAATAGACCAATATACGAGGAGCTTAATTTGTAAGTGCGACGCAACTTAGGTGTCTATAATTTTTTTAATATTTATACTTATAGGTACTTATATTTATAAGTAAGTACACGATAAAAGACCTTTTTGTTTTCTATTGAATAACTCGCAGATAGCCAGTCGGCTTATAGTACCTATATTGGATAATCTATGACGTACTTTTTATTGTAAGAATAAAGTATAAAATTTTAATTCTAGAGAAGCACATACATAGGATATTTGACCTTGAAATAATTATTTTATAAACACAGAGATTGGAAATAAGATCAGTGTATGATAATAGGTGCACCCGCATCTACAATAGGGGCAAGTTATAATAACAGAAAAAGTGGACGTCACATCACATCTGCGTATCTTAACAAAGAACAAAATAATGGCACATTTAGAGCATTGGTGAAGTGAACAGCTGTTTTGTAACGTGTTGTGCATTCGAGTAGTGAGCAGATTTTTTTGACCTACGAACTTTTCTAGACTGGGAATTTGAAATTTATGAGAAACTCTTTATAGGTATAGGTATAGGTGTACCGACATCTACCTCACAACACGCATTAACAGCGCCAATCACATTCAAGATTCTACATCGCGTTATAATAGTTCTCGACGCAATTAGGTACAAAATCCCGACAACAACTGTCGGCCAGTTGCCCACCAGACAGAAGACCCGTCTGGTCGAAGGATCCTCCCATTTCAATGGAGGATGAGGAACTTTAAGCCCTATTCTCTCATCCCTCCAAATAGATAAAGTTTTTTAATAAAGTCTTACTGTAAATCTTTCCGTTTGCAGTCACTTGAAACACGATATTATTTAGGACACTGTATCGGTTTAATCCCATTAACTATATATTTATTGGGTCACCCAATCATATTAGCCACCAAATTAATTAAGCTTACAACGAAACGTTTATGGTAAATAATTTAGATAATGAATGACCACTACGAATATTTAATCAAGGAAAATCAATTAACGTGAATGGTAAATTAGAAATTTCAGGAAGTTATTCATAGACATCGTTTACGATAACTACTAGACCCAAGGACCGATCCCCGCCCATACGGAATCGTCGCGTCGCTCCAGGCGACAAAACTGAGGACTCCTCATTGCTATAAAATTAAAAGCTTTCTTCCACTTTGAAAAAAAATCCTGTGTCTGGAAGTATGATAGTTAAAGTTGTCTATATTCTTTTATTTATAAAATCCATGTTGGTCAACATTGTAGGCGCCAAATTTGGATCTCGCTTCTTTTTTTTTATTAATTAAATTGTCGATGTATCGTAAACAAAAACTGTCGTTAATTCCCTAAAAGAAAAAGCAGAGATGAGCATTTACATTTACTTATGTATTTAATGTGAGATCCACTTCTATCTAACACAATCTTTCACTAAAATTTAAATCTAATAAGTCCGTCTGTTAAACAATGAAGAGATATTCGACACATAAGTAGGTAAATGTATTTTTATTGTGTAGAAAAATCTTGTTTGGAATGTTGGATAAGATTTACGTTTAGGAATCTTGACGTTACACAATATTTCAAATCAATATATTATATACAGGAAAATTATTATATTCTTCTTTCTTTCTTTCTAACAATAAATGTTCAACCCGATTAAGCTCGTACATTCCGAGACTCCTAGCTTAGCAGTCGCACTCCAACGAAGCAATCAATTCATTAAAATTATTTATTTACAAATATTGACACAAAATGGCCGTCTAATAACGTTTTATTTGAAGTGTAAACACTGAGATGGTATTTAAGTTCCATTAATCATATAATTCCACGTGCTATATGTCATGGCTGCGGAGTAAATTGTTGGCTTTTAAAGCTCATGTAATAAGGGTGATTTTAGAACTTTGATTATGATTAATAGTTTAATACATTACGACTGAGGCATCGACATCTGTATATCTTCTGATTCTAAGATCTATATACTATATCGAACTGCGACCCGCCCCGGCTTCGCACGGGTACAATACTGATTCTAAATTTTTTCACATGTTTATGGATTTTATTATACATATTCCCCTTTAATAACTCTATCTATAAAAAAACCGCATCAAAATCCGTTGAGTAGTTTTAAAGATCATTCAGCATACACAGGGATACAGGAACGAAGAAAGCGACTTTGTTTTATACTATGCAGTGATTACTACCGCCCTGGTGAGACGAGACTCTTACTGGCTCTGACTGACTGGAAACTTTCCTGTATTTCTACTTTAAGCTAAGGCATGGTATGTCATTAGCCAAGAGACTGACCTCGGACTCTGTTTCGATATTTTGTCTCAGTGTAGTCAGGTTGTAAATGCCGGCTTCATGTAGTTATGTGTTGTTTTATCGATGGCCTTTCATTCAAGGTGCTCGAAGCGATTAAACAAATTAGAAAGTTCAAACTTTTTCAATTATTGCAAACTAGCGTTTGCCCGCGACTTTGTTCGCGTGGAATAGTGACTTCCTGCAGATTTTTCGTTAAAAAACTATCCTATTTCCTATCCTATTTCTCGAGTTCCAAACTATGTCTGTACCAAATTTCACACAAATAGGTTCAGTAGTTTAGGCGTGAAGAAAACAGACAGACAGAGTTACTTTCGCAATTATAATATTATAGTTTGCAAGGTGATAACTTTAAACTACCGCGTTGATGAACATAACTATACTCGGAATTTTAATTCCATTCCAGATTTGACAATTTCAGTGTTGCAACGTTATTACACGTAATAAATAGTGACGTTGTGAAATTATTCGATATTGAAATCGAATATTTCTGAATCGATTCCTCTCGTTTATAAATTTACTCTCGTAAACTAAGTTTATCAGGAAATAAAATATTTCTGAACCGATAATTTAGTTTTGACAATTAATTAACGATCCGAGACTTTTCTTTTGTAATTGTGTGTGAAATTTATAAAAAAATGTAATCATGAAGGAACGTTACAAATAAAACAGACATTTTATAAATTGTCGCCGTCATTGCTATCGCTATCGCTGTTACTTTATGTAACATTTATTATGAATTGTGTCTGTGATATTTATTGTCAATTAACATATCTAGCTAACTCATTTTTTCCTCTTCTTTGAAAACATGGGATACACATTTAGACCATTCGGTAGCCATAATTTTTTGAATGCCTTCCTGAAGCTGATTCACTGATTGTTTATCGATTTTTGTGGTCATCACTACAATGCTATATGTGGTATCATTATTTCACAAAATGACAGTGGCCAATGTCAAATCAGGAATCGAATTAAAATTCTGACTATACATAAAAACTTAAGTTTTACCAATTAGAGATAAGAAAGTAAGTATATAATAGGTATTACATACCGGCAAGCAAAAACACTTTCTTCCCGTAGTCCTTTTCAAGGTGCAAAAAGTATGTAGGATAGAGCCCTCTGTCCATCCCTTTGCGATCTCTAGCGATGCGACATTTGTATAAAGTGCCATGTTTAGCTGGTGTCACCACGAACTGTTCCACTGCACCTTCGACCGAACCCTCAATTTCTGGAGTCTGGTTAAAGAAAAAATATAAAAATAATAATTACAATAAAAACTTTTTTCATCGTCCTAAGCTGGGAGTTTCACCTATAGTAGATATAAAAACAATGGCCACACTTGTGGTGTTGTTTTAATTAATAAAATAACACAAAGAATTGTTTTCTGTGGGAATAGAAATCAAGACTGCCGGTTCCCAGGTGATATGCTTAGGCAAGTTATATACGCTTAGGCTATACCGTGTACCGTTTAAACTATAAGATAGAAAAAGTAATTTACTATCTCCACGCAATGTTCTTGGCACGCCTCTAATGATCATGAGACAGACCTTAGTTTGTTGCGACTGATTACTAGTGCAGCAATAAAAAGGCCCACAATATTGGTACAGGCGACTAAGCACAATGAATATTATGGATGAAAAAGAACCCAACCTTGGCGGCAAACATTTGTGCCAGCGCTCTCTGATTTATGGTAATACACCGCTTTTTTGAAACCTGATCGAAATTATAAAGCAAAACTAAAAATAAACGTGTAAAATAAAAATCAAATCAGAATACTTAGTTCAAAATGAATTATTAATAATGGAATGTTACAAAAAAGAAAACCATGGAATAACAGAAAAAAAAACACTTAGGGCTGATTTTTTTTAATAGTCAGATAGATGTTATCTGAGGATTGAAATTGTCGCTGTCATTGTCTTATACAAACATTCTGACGCGACAGCATCATGATTATTCTCCAAATAATTTTTATCTACCCATAAAAAAACAGCATATATTAAATACATGCCTAACTTCAACTACCTTAACGTTTAATCACTATAATTTTAAAAGCGCCAGCATAAATAAATTCATTGTAATTTTTTTAGTACCCTTACCTGTGTGGGTGAGCTATCCCTTCGCGGCTTATCGTGCAACGGCGCGACAGCTGCGTCAGCGCACACATCGTCAGTACTTGCGTCGCGACCCACGCTACACACAGGGACGCTCTCTTCGTCTTCCTCACCGCTACCGTCCCCTTCACCCACCGTCAGGACCTCTATCTGATTGCCTAGCTCTGCAAAAGTTGGAAAGTTCTAGAACTTACATATAAAAAAACTATAGTACTTGAAATTGATGTCGGAAATATTTCGAACATTACAAATACATCTACAAATTGGTGATTCTATCTTTGTCACTGTAAAAAAACAATATGTTGTTTTATGTAATTAATAACTAGAAAGCAATTCTAATCTGAGAATTATTAAGATGTTTTTTGGTCTCCCTGGCCAAAAATATAAAATTCAACCAAGTATCACTTCTTTTTGAGTGACCTTTATTTGCGTTTAAGTATAATTATACCAAGTGTACTACTTATAATATATCACAAGTATTTACGTGTATTGAGTGCAGTACCAATGATTTTTGATAAAAGATTATTAAAATTACTAGACAGACTACCTATGTACATTTTGATACCCTTCTTATAACTTCTATAATGAGATTGAAAATTGATTTAAGTTAAGATTCTAGGTATTGTGTTGAATGAATTTATTACTTACATAGTTTCAAGTATTGCATTGTTTTATTTAATTTCCATGGACAATGGATTTGAAACATAAAGAGAATTACTCAAGTATGATAGACTTGATGACAGCATAATAGAATTATGTTAAGTACTCATAAAACCATTGTTAGTTATTTATAATAAGTATAACAATTAAATAAAATTTATTGTGACTATTCCGCTCTGTGTCAACTTCGAATTTTGGGCAGAGTAAAGAATTATTTTTTTATAATATAATTGAAGATGAAATGTTGATATGTGTAACTGAAGTATGTTTGCATAGTACATAACATTGAAAGAGAACCCATTTATCTTTGTAATTTTTAGAGCTCAAAATAGATGCTTTGAGAAAAAAAAAAAAAGATTTGGCACTTCTAATTTTGCACTGAAGTTAGAATAAATGTTATGTTAGATTTATAATGAAATAAAAGCTTCTGTTCTTATATTATTATAAAGGAATTTAAAAATAATATAAAGTCCATTAGTCAACATTAAAAAGGCTCATTCTTCAAAAGAAAATGACAGAGTACAAATTCAAAGTCACAAGAAAAAAAAACATATCCCTAAACAATTTATGCAAGAAAAAATAGTGTATTTATTTCATAGTAAAACCAGTTAGGTATTTACAAGTTATGAATGAATAATATGTTTTCCTACACCATGGAATAACAATCTTATTCATACTGTGATTCACCATGTCAATAGTACAAGGCTGTATACTATACAATTGTTGATCCTTGAAAATATAATAGGTACAAATGCCAAAAATCTGTATTATTTTGTTATTATATTTGTTCTTCGTCGTCGACTTGAAGACTCTTTGTTAAAGATATATGTTTAATCCAAGTAATATTATAAGTGTGAAAGTTTGTGAGATTGTATGGATGTACATATGTTGATAGGTCATACCCTGGATTTATACATAGACTACATTTTAAGAACATACCACACTAACAAAGCCGCAGTTGGATGTCAATTTTTCATAAAATTTTCAAGTTATACTTATGAATTATAACATTCAATGTTCAATTGCAATATTGGCGCAGTATTTGATGTTTGATTCCCCATTAGCTGACTATCTTGTGAGATGAACAGATCATCTTTCTAACTCTGGGGGTAAAGTTCTTGTAAATTTATGTTTGTAAAAAAACAAGACGCGGAAGTAAATCCTGGAGAAAGCACTATGTAGGCAGTAATAGTATTAATTGAAAGTTTAATATTTCAGTTAAGTTTAACTTTGTTATTTTGATAACTGGGACAAACAACATAATAGTATGCACATTTTTTATGACAGATATACTCAAGTAACTTACTAGGAGTAGGAAATAAAATTAAATAATAACATTATCAGAAAATAGTTACATAGTCATTGGATTGGGTTTAGTTATGAGAGAGTTCACATATGTATATGACACAAGGGCCCGAGTTTCAAGCAGTGTATGACAGAATGTATAAGAGTATATTAAGTGTTATTAATAAAAAACAGACACCAATCATGCTATTGTAAATAAATGTAGTAAGAGAAGCAAAAGTATTATGTTTCATAGGAAAAAGTAAGCACAGCAGCACTACTTACCATCAAAAGTAGATATTCTATTGGTTTGAAGAGGTATTACTTGGTCCGGATTGACTGGCGACATAAGAAATTGCATCGGACCATCATAGCCTGTCATAAAAGGAAAAGAAAATGCGCATAACGAAAATATACATCGAAAAACCATGCATGAGTTAACTAAACATTTAGACATAATATGTTAATAACGACGTAAAATTAAATTAGCACGTACCATGAAGCTCCCGGGAACGGCTGCCTGATATTGGTCGCTTCGCAGACCCTACCCTGAGATCGTTTGCCTGAACCAAACCAGAATTCTGGCGTTTCTGCTTCATCTTCTGTTCCATCATTTGCCGCTAAAATTATAATAGAAACTTATATAAAAACTATTAAACTAAATACTAATAGGCAAATATTTGTGAAAGTCCGCCCCATAAAATGTATAAAATATATTAAATTTGGATTTTAAATTAATTAATTTGAAACCACTCACTTGCTGTTCGAGTTTTTGATCCCGCATCGAAGCCATGGTCGTCGTATGCGTTATTGACTTTGTATCTAACTTTATAAATCGCGCACTACAGTTTAGTTGTAAACGTATTAACTTTTATCTCAAAATTCAATACAATAATTGGCATTTTGTAAGCTCATTTTTTGTTTATAAATCATCTTGCCTACCGTTGCCCAGGAAAATAGTGTTGTCAACATTTTGTCTTTCACTTGCATGTATTAGTAGTTTTTCAAAGAACTATTTTATTATAAAAAAAATCCTCTACTTCGTAATTGTTCAGAAAATAGGAACCCAAAAATACAAGAATTAATCAAATTAACATGATGAGATTTTTTATAGAACATATGCTCAAATAAATTCATATGCGGTAAGATTTCAACTTCTCACCTTGGCAACAAAGACAAGAAAGGTTCTATATTTTGGTGTTTTCATTTTACAGAAGAGTCCCTATTACATGGCAAAAAATAAAATTATGAACAAAATTATTCAATAACGAAGGACGAAATACTTGTTAATTCTCGTTTATTTAAATTGGTGATTTGTTCCATTACCTACCCACTTTTGCTCATTGTATAGTCAGTTCTGCAAGTGGATCGTGCGGCTCATGGTACGTCGGCTTGATCCGGCGACAGATCTGACTGCAATTTTAATAAATCTGTGTCTGGTTTGATCCGTGCACTGGAGGCGTAGGTACTCGAGTCACTTTATCGGTAACGATAGGTGTTCGACTGGTGTAAATAGGATCCCATCAATGGCGAACAGACTAACGCTTTGCGGCTGTTTTCGACACCAAATATTCCAGTCAGCATCGATGTTTGACCGGGGCCCAGAAGTATCCTCTTGGGTCTCCAAGGTGAAGTATGAAGAGATCAATACTTCACTTTTTCTTTTGTGTAGTTTAAATAAGCTAAATCATTTATGGCAGTCAGTCGGTGGTGAGAGTTTAAGTGTTTTCTTGCCAGATGCGGGAACTCCACGAAGATTTTCCTGCTTTGTAAAATATTACAAATTTTGTTTCTTTTATAAATAATGATATTCATTAAGATTTGAATTAGAATTTGGTTTACAAGGTACCGTCAAAAAGAGAGCGGAAGTCGGTGAAGTGAACGTTGCCATTCTACTCATTAAATTAAAACTAACATTTATTTGTGTACCTACCGAGTATTAACCTTTCACTCATGTATTTGAAATTAAATTAGTCAAACTTAAGTAGGAATTATTGTTTAAATAATGTGTATTGTGTATTGTAACTGTAGAGACATAGCACCTGTCGCAGGTTATCGTATATTGCCTACCAGAGAATCTGTAACGACACATATCACGAACTATGTAACCTTCAGGTACCTAGCTGTGTGGTAGTGTCGACGCCACCAATCCAACTTCCGGGAGGTAACTTGTTCTTCATCTTCAGTTAAGCATCGTGACTGGCTAAAGTACACAATAATGAGGAACACTACTCCCATCCCACTTCGTTCTTGGCTTGAGGGAAAATTCACAACACGAGAATAAGAGTTGAAAGAGATTCAGGGAATATCTCAATAAGGAGCTGGATCTCAATAAGCCTCGGAGTCGCCGTATATGCGGGATTGCTCTGAGAGCTGTTGGATGACCTTCATCACCAAGCAGCTCAACATAATGTTATCCGGGGCTCATCAATACAATTTACCAGCCACCATCTACCTGTTTATCCATATGCATATTGATCAGGGGCAGGGACGATAGTATTCCAGGGTTGCGGGGTAAGCGCGATGAGGCACCGCGACCGCGGCCCAGAGCAAGAGAAGGACTGAGGGGGTTTTCAGTCAGTAAGAGTCTGACAATCCCTCCCGCCCCACCCTGGGCGGGTGAAGTCATTTGATGATTTCTTTTCCCCTCACGAAAAAAGGGGCGATAGTATTTCCCCCATATCCAATACATTTTCAAATTGTCTTACGTTATCATTAGTGTAAAACATAATTTATAAGTTCAAAAAAATCACCATTTGCGAATATCGTTTTTTTTTTATTAGCACAGTTTGGGATTTTTTATCCATAAATAGTGCAACACTAGTGGTTTCAATCAATTTCATTATATGTCAATGTCTCAGTCTGTCATTTATTTTTCAAGATGGCTCCAAATCGGAGCGTTTTAGGATTTTTGAACCCAAAAACTCTTAGTACGGTTTTCACCAATAGTATTGTAAAAACTCCATATCGTTATGTGCATGGCTGTAATAATTGTGACAAATTTTTAGGTGGTCATGCTATTTCCGCAGCTTCCTTAGCACGTAAAAATTGTAAGTTTTACATGCTTTCATTACATCACCGGTTATTATTTATTGCTAGTTCGACAGGATTCATTAAAAGGGATATGTTTTTACTAGGTCATCATAATGTGTAACGTAGTTTATGTTATCAGTTTAAGATCCACTTTGACATTTCGTGAAACATAACCTAACTTCACATTTCTCAGATAATATCGGTGCAAGACATCGATTTATTCATACGACGAACCATTTGAGTGCTCGAGCTGACTACTACAAGGTCCTCGGTGTCGCTAAAAATGCTTCTGCTAAAGACATCAAGAAGGCGTACTACCAGTTAGCTAAGAAGTATCATCCTGATGCAAATAAGTCTGATCCAGAAGCTTCCAAGAAGTTCCAAGAAGTATCTGAAGCTTATGAGGTATGTCAAAATATTACAAAATGTATTTTACACTTGAATCATACATTTATAATTCAAGATTTGTCCATTTATTTTGATAATACCAGTTGAAGGTCTACATATCATTGGTTCAATAAAAACTGTTTATAAAAAAGGAGTTATTATTTTTACAGATACTATCTGATGAAAACAAGCGCAAACAATATGACACATTTGGTACTACTGCGGATGACATGGGTATGGGAGGTGGGCCCTCGGGAGCTGATGGTTTCACCCACCAATGGCAGTACAAGTCCACCATTGACCCTGAAGAGTTGTTCCGAAAGATATTTGGTGATGCTGGCTTCAAAAGTGAGGCTTTTAGTGACTTTGCTGAGTCCAAGTTTGGTTTTGGTGCTGCACAAGAGGTAATATATTATGTTTTACTTTTTTTAATAATTCGAAGCGGATTAGTATTGCTTATTATCATGTGACTATACAGTTTATTTATTTTCAATTTCTCAGAAGTATTAAATGATATGTAGTTGACCCTGTGTGGTCAAGAAACTCTTTGCTACATAACTAATCTGTGTGATTGTCTGTCAGCTGATATTAAGAGGTTTTGGCTAACATAAACCAGTAATAAAAAATCTTAATAGTCTTTTTAATTCCATCTTCCAGGTGGTAGTGAACCTCCGTTTCACAGAAGCTGCCCGTGGTGTGAACAAAGAGATTAATGTGAATGTGGTGGACACATGTCCCAAGTGCCAGGGCTCCCGCTGTGAGCCAGGAACTAAAGCTATTAAGTGTACTTACTGTAATGGAACTGGCATGGAGACATTCTCTCGAGGTAAGTTGTTATTAACTGTAATAATTCAAGTGTTGGAAAAGCCACTCTTTACTTGAAGTTGCATATTATGGGAATTTGGCTTGTGCCAAGCTTCTAGAGTATCAAACTACCTATGGTACTTATTTAATTGGTATTTATTTATTCAATATTTAATCATCATTTGCTGTGATGTTTTTGTAACAATTTTTTTCTATTCGCTGAGCTCACTGTCGTACTTTGTGCTTTAATTTATTTATTATATTAATTTTCAGGTCCATTTGTGATGCGCTCCACCTGCCGACACTGCCACGGAACTCGAATGTTAATCAAGTTTCCTTGTGTTGAGTGTGAAGGAAAAGGACAGTCGGTATGTACCTCAGATAAACTAATAGTATTAAGAAAAATCATTACAAACATAATTTAAAAGTCAATTTAGAAAGTATAACTTATAGATTTTCAATTAATGAGAAAATTGATTGACAAGCAATTTTGGGCTCAGCTTGCTTGTCAACTAGTGCTTATAAGGTTTAGGTTTACAAAGCTTTATTTTGAGTAAAATAAGATTTTTTTTTTCTAAAATAAAATATTTTCTTAGGTCCAACGCAAAAAAGTGAAAGTGCCCGTGCCAGCTGGAGTAGAAGATGGGCAGACAGTCCGCATGGCTGTTGGGAACAACAATGAGATATTTGTCACCTTCAAGGTGGAGAAATCCAATTACTTCCACAGAGATGGACCTGATGTGCACACTGATTGTACTGTAAGTATATATATTAAGATAATACTGATTAAGATGAAGTTATTATGTTATTAACATTTTCCTTTACTGACTTCGCGTCTGTTTAATTCGAGTTTCTCTAGATTAGGTGTGATTCTGGAGTAATATAAAATATTTTGCTCCTTAAAAAGAAAGTATTTCTTTTTTTTTAAGTTGGGAAATCATTTTTGGCCCTGTTTAATAGAAACAAATAAACTCATTTTTCTTATTAGTTATATTAGTTTAGATTATAATTTCTATGATCATTTGTAAGCAGAGTAAAGCTGGTTATGGTTTTTTTATGCAAATTCGACATTAACTTTTTCTATTTTGTTTGCAGATTTCCGTGGCCCAAGCTTTGTTAGGAGGCACAGTCAGAATACAAGGATTATATGAAGACCACACCTTGCAGGTTTGTATTTTTTTTTAAAGATTGTTGCACATCCTAAGATTTTCTCCCGTGTCGTGGGTGCATTTACAAACATACAATTTCACATACACATTACACCAAGACCCGGAACAACAATTTTTGGATCATACGTTGCGCCGCAGCTAGTTGCCTAGCCACCGCGCCAACCGCAGTCAAATATTATTATCATAATGCCTAGTGCGAATTTGCTTTATATCAATGCGATTGAAACTTACGCGTGCAGCCATCTGATAGGGTGGCTTATGGAGACAAAAAATAGAAGATCGACGACAATAATCAACGAATGACTTCATAAATTCAATGTCGCGCATGTGAAGTTTTCGCGCCATTAAACATGGATAAAAAATCCCAATGTTAAAGTGTTCAATCTATTGAATTTAATGCTCATCTCTACTAAAAATGCAAAGAAATAAACTCTCCCATAAGTAGTACTTCTTTTATTAATTTGGTAAATTCTTGTTTCCATTTTTCCAGATAATGCCAGGCACATCATCTCACACCACCATCAGACTGTCACGGAAGGGTATGAAGAGAGTTAGTCAGCATGGTTACGGAGATCACTACGTGCATATCAAAATACAGGTTAGATAATACAATATATTAAAGGTTAGACTAATCAATCAGGAATTTAACTTTGAGAAAATACATGTCAACGATTTTTTTTTCGTATTTTCAACCTTAATTGATCAAAAATCACTTTTAAATAGTCTTTAGCTAAATGTACTGGATATTTGGTTTACTCTTCTTGTATTTTACTTGAATCCTTTTTGTCAGGTACCAAAATCGTTGTCGAGCAAACAGAAGGCGCTTATGTATGCGTACGCCGAACTAGAAGAGGATACTCCTGGTCAAATCCACGGCGTGTCCCTCGATAGAGATGGTAAGAAATAAATGTGAAGCTTATCTACAAAAATATTTAATTATAAGCGTAGATACATAGAAGACTGCTCCTTATAGATGTTAAGATTGTACAAAAGTCCGTAGGAAATAGGCTTTTATAAATCTTCACACCAATTTGTGCCCTAATTTATCTGCCATACAGCTGCTAATTCGATAGAGGATCAATTAAGAAATGTATAGAAAAAAATACAAACTTTATTTTACAGAGAAAGCAAAAACTAGCAGTGATACAGGGGGCGGTAAATCGGAAAGTTCGGAAACGTTTATGGGGGGTGATCACATTCACCAAGCGAATCGCGATAACGACGATCATGATAGAAATAATTCGAAAGCTTGGACGTTTCTAGAAAATTTGAGTGATGCTTATAGGAGTAACAAAATGTACTTTGTTAGTGGTTTCGTGATGGCGGTGATTGTCAGTGCGCTTGTGATGATGAATGACCCATTGGATCGGTATGGTGCTAATAAATACATGGAAAGACTAGATAATTTGCCGACTCGGGAGATTGATACGCCTTACGGTTATCAGAGAGCAATTAAACGTGAAAGGGAACAACATCCTGATTTATATAAGGATTTGAAAGAAGCGTAATGTGTGGGGAATTTGCTCGTGATATTTATATCTATTATGTATATATTTCGTGCCTATGATTGGCTATGAATTGTTCTAAAAACCAATCATATGCGTTGATTCAAAACGACTTGAGAGAATACGAGATTCAGATTGCAGGTTAGTTTGAAATATCAATGCTGTTATCTTTAGAAAAGGTGTTTTCTTAGAGATAAATATTCCCTATTTTGCTTTGCAAGCTAAACTTAATATTATACCTTATGACCCAGTTCTTACAGTCGTATTTAAAGTAGTTTCTCAACGAAGTCCAATATAAATATTAATATGTTAATTTATGCATTGTTTTTATGTGATAAGTATACCAATGTATACATTAAATTTGTTCAGAAAATATTATTTTTAATGTATTATGTATATATTATAGTTGTATAGTTATTTATCGAGAAGATTTTTATGAAAGAGTTATGAATGGTTCTGAAAGGGCTTCATTATAATGGTTATAGTATGATGGTCATACATTAGTTTCAATTATTGTAAATATTTGTAGTCTGTTTTATGAATACACGGAAATTTCGTTTTATATGTTGTTTCATTTCGAACCTTTGACCCTTTACCATCATGCTATAATCTTTAATTGTAAAGATAAGAATTAAAAACAGGTTAAATGGTATAAAATACCAGACCTAACAAATTAAAATATTACACTGTACCTTCTGTCAGCAACTTCGCCTGCGTTTCTGGGGGATAAAAAAATATCCTAATTTCTTCTAGACGTGTGATCTATCTTTACACTAAATCTTATCCAAAGCTATACACTATCTATAGTAGTTTTTACGAGACAGATTAACAATCTATCTTTACATACTTCAAATTCGCTTATTATATTTGATATTGTCTAACCGCAGTCCTTAGCTTTAATGATTACTTTAACTATTCCTTATTTTTTTTCCATTGCTAATGATTGGTTCAAAATAATTATTGACTGAGTAAAATCTGACTAAGTACGGTGCGGCGCCATTTTTGTCTTAGAACTGTTTCAAACAAGTCTAAATCTAAAACAAAAATACTTTGCCTTAACGCAATTGGAACGTTACTGCGTGTAGCCATCTGATTGGTTGATTAATTTAGAGCTGGCCAATCAGAGCACAAAACGTCATAATGGTGTCGACCGCAGCAACTTAAAGCAAACTTGCAATATGTACTTTGAAACTATAAGCTAGTGATGTAAAAGCTGAGGGATAGAGTTAAAATGCGTTACTACAACCTTTTAAATTTTTATTAAAAAAAAACATTGGGCAAACGCACATTGATGTTGATTCGATGTCCCCGCGAATTTCAGTGTTCCGGTGTTTTCATGGATGTAGCTACTGTAGATCCTGGCGTTGCAGCGGGTTTATCAGGATGCTCAGGGCTTGTCCCCATTAAAACAAGCATTTGTGTATGACAGGGTATTCTTCTTTAAAAGCGTTAGCCGACACTTTATTTCTCGAGGGTGACGCAAGAACCGACTAAGGGATTACATAACGGAAACCTCACATTAGCACCCTTTTGAACTTTTTTATGCAATCAATCTCCAATCGCTTGCTTAGATAGTGGGGAGATTAGGCCAGAACTCCAGCAGTGGACGAACACTATCGAATAAATGACTGCAGACATTAATTATTTTCCAGGAGCTGTACGAGAGAAATAATGAGTTAATAATACAAATACTTCTTGTAGGTAATGACATACAATGACAATTTTATATAGGTATTGATAGTCAGTAGATATTAATTAGTTTGTGGTTGTTCCCATCTGTAATTAATTGTAAATAAAACACATTAATCTTAATGCAGAAAATCGACAATCCTAATCCAAGTAAACTAATGTTGTTATGCAATTATAATAAAATAATAATCATAAACATAGCTAGAATTGGGTGGACGACATGGTATGAAAACGAAAAAGCGTTAAGTTAGTGTGAAAAAAAAATATAACACACGTATTTTTTATTTCCTTCTAGATCAAAACTTCGATAAAATTACACAGACACAACACATATTTCAAATCCATATGGTCGAAAGTATTTGATTTAGTAAGAAAAATACGTGTCGTGTGTTTGAAATTATTATAAAAAAAATCATCATCCCTACAACAATTACATTCGTAGGTCTTGAGAGCAGGATTTATTATACATCATCATTTTTATCATGTGTTGTTTTTCTTTAAATAAAATGCCCTTCATATTGGTTTCAGCGTCATAAAAGTATACTAATCACTTAACGTATCTACCCTATATTTTCTCCAAAAACCTATATGTAGCCACTTGCATTTCACACGTTTTTTCCATTTGATATTCAAAAAGTAATTTTATCACCATCATTTAAGACTTATTTTGATTCTATCCCTAATTGCTTTCTTCAATTTCCAGGTAAAAAAGTGTCGATATCGGAGCCTCTAGACATGGTGGACGCTGTGAAGGAAGCTCTAAAGGAAAAGAAGTCTATTGAAGGAGCTCCTACTGAAGAGGAAGTGGTTGAGGAATCTAAGAGAAGCAAGGCGTAGATAGCTACACCTATTTAGTACTATATTTCTACTGCTTTGATTGTGAAAGGATACTTATACGGTTTAGTTTGGTCTTGGCCAAAGAAATTAACAAAATTAAAATTGATAAATCAAATCTAATAAAAAAGTTTATATTATGTTATCGCCGGTCACTTTGTCCCCAAAGGCGTATCCAGAAATTATTAATAGCAAAAATCACATCACATTTTTTATCGACTTTTTTTTGGTCTGTTGGTCTGATTTCAATGGCTGTAAGGGCTGTATGCTCTCATTTTGTTTGATAATTTGCTAGATAAGCTTTCAGATATGTATATTGACGAATATAGATAGGCTACTCTTAATATCTTTCCTTTCACTATCAAACGCGGTAAGACCTCATAGCAAAATGTTCCAAATATATTAGAAAATATAAATTCCCGCTTCTCTGTCAAAAAATTTAATATATGTATTTCTTGATTATGTATTTAAAATTATCAAATGTAGGTACTCAACACACATTTGTACGATTTACTTTATTTACTGTGATACAATGTTGAATGGTTAACATTTTGCGCTACTATTAATATTAATAGAAATATTTCGATGTCTGAAAATTCACGTTTTATTGGATATTTCACAAAGTAATTGTAATCAAAGAAGCTGTACATAGCCGTTGACTAGTGTGTAGGAAATGGTAGGTAAATAAAATATAACAAATTTATTAATTGTGTTGTTTTATTTTCAGTATTATAGAGTTTATATAAGTTACAGGATTTATTGAATTGTGACAGAACAATGAATGTCTGCGGTTGTGGACAAATTGGTATTTTTCTCTTCCAAAAAGAAATGATTTCAACTTACAAAACCTCACAAAAATACTTAAAAGTAATCACATCTTCATTTATTTATTTTACGATATAGGTACTTAAAATTAATGTGTATCATAATAGATACACATGGCCCACGAAATATATCATCAGCAAGATATATTTCATGGGCCAGTGTATCATTTTTGATACACGCTTCTAAAATCCTGAAAAATAAAAGGGGAGATGGCTAATGAGAACAAAACAGTAATAAATATCATTAAAAAGCATATTAGGGTAAAAAAAACAAACATCATAAAAACTGAGGTTTGGGCGATTAAGGCTTGGCGGTGAAGGTGTTAATATTCGTTTTTTTTTTGTAAATTCAAGAGAAGTAAGTATTTATTTCTCTCGGTTTATGCTCATCAGTTGGCAGTAATGTAGCAGGGGATATGGACCCATGTGTTTAAATAAAACAAAATATGACTATTCTATTGCCGCGATTGGACATACATTTAATATCCAATGGATGTTATGTAATATAATTGTAGATGTAGATGGTATTTTGAATCAATTAATTCATATTTAATGTTACTTTATTACGACGATAACGTGACATGTTGTGGGGAATCGTTTCATATTTACGCGGCACGCCATTGCATCTCGAAAGACGTTTTGGTCGAGGAGTTATGAAATAGGGTTGTAACTTGTGCATCAGTGATGTTTTTTTTTCTTTTAAAAACGTTGCCCCACTATAGAATTTTCTCCTGTGTTGTGGGTGCGTTTACAAACATACAATGTCACATACACATGACACCCAGACCCGAAACAACAATTTGTAGATCACACAAAGTGTTGTTCCGTGCGGGAATCGAACCCGCGACACGTTGCACGGCAGCCAGTTGCCCAGCCACCGCACCAACCGTGCAGTCAAATTTGTGCAGTCGATTTTGGTTAATGGGACATAGTCTGGTCCGGTCGGTTGGTATCAAAGCATAACCTGCTATGTCATATGTAAAAAATTATAAAGGTTAGCAAAAGGAGGTTTTTTGTTTGTGTTGCAAATTATTCTTCAACCTTCTTCATATACTTTCAAACAGCCTGTATTTCTCAGTCATGTAAGCGAAGGCGGCGCCGCTGTGACAGCGCAACGTTGCCAGCCCGCACGATACCAGCAACATGGCTCCTTCAACGTAACATCCGTATAGTATACGAACGTGGGCGTTTACCTGTACAGATTTAAAGTAAATATAGTTTATTTGTGTTTGAACTAAACAAGGTACAGGTACAAGGGTAGCTTGAGTAGGAAGGTATGTATGAAAAGATGCATGGATACCTAGCCATTTCTATGGGACTATAGCGTATATAGCTATTTTTTTTATGTAATAGGTCGGCAACCGAGCATACGCATTACCTGATGGTAAGCAATCAGCGCCACCCATGGACACTCGCAACGGAGGAGTTACGAGTGCGTTGCCGACCTTTTAGGGATTAGGGATTTGGAGATTTAGGGATTGAGGAGGGATTGGGGAAGGGGAAGGATTGGGCCTCCGGTAACCTCACTCACACGGCGAAACACAACGCAGTGGTTATTTCACGCCGGTTTTCTGTGAGGCCGTGGTATCACTCCGGTCGAGCCGACCCATTCGTGCCGAAGCTTGGCTCTCCCACACTTATACTGCTACTGCACATGCTACTTTTATTCCTATTTGTTATTGTGTCTTTCTGTTATGTACCTAAGTACTTCTAAACGTGGGTCGTGGAACTTCACTACATGTATCTATGGTACAAAGTGTAAAGTGGCCGCCGCGTTTGTTTTTCGCTGTGGGTATGGCGAGAGGCAGTGTCAGAATCTTACTGACTAAACCCCCGCCCCCCGTTCCTTCTGCTTTTCCAGGTCAAGGCCGCGGTATCTTATTGCACTTGACCAGCAATCCTGGTTAAGCATCGGCTTTGTTGGGTCCATCTGTGGTGGTCTATTGGATGCCGCTAAGATAGCTTTGCAATATCTATATACTTTAAGACAGGAATTATCGGACCTAGTCTGCTGCAGAAGAAGGAACAGGATGGTTTTTAGTCATTAAGAGACTGACGCTCTCTCTCGCTCCACCCAGAGAAAAAGAAGCCATAGCGTACTTATTTCTTAAAAATTAGCTAAAAATTATCGAAAATTTTGTGTATCAATCGATCGATGAATGAAAGTATAGTTATTTTTCAATATGTTATTGTATTGAAAGGTCGAATAAATTTATTTTTGACCTATGAAGCGACCCAATTCCAACGCTAACGTTAAAACTTGAAAAGCATTTGTGTTGGTTACTTACGCGTTCCAATCCCCCGCTGGTGGTGAACTCTAGCGGGAATAATGCGATGTCTAGTGAAGTTTTACCGCGAGCCAGACCAAAGGCCGCGGCGCCAAATATGTAGTACAATATAGCTATAAGAGGCACGCTGCGACACGCAACAAACACGCTGAGAAAACGCTGTAAATGTAAATAGTATTTTAATGAATAACAATTTGGTAAAATTAAATATAAAAGTTTTTAGAAGTTCGAACCTACCATTAGGTACTTATTTTCATACGAATGAAATTAAATAGAAAAAAATTAGAAGTTCGAACCTACCATTATTTTCAAACGGATAGTTCTTTTATTTGGTGTCTTCAGAACTTCAGAGTTTCGACTGCAGTTTGGACTTTCTGAAATTATCACGTTTGAATAAATATCTACTTACTTGGGGCAATACTACCTAAACACAGCGTAGCTACTAATAAGTGTGGAAAAGCGCAGCTTCGGCACGATTGGGTCTGCTCGACCGGAGTAATACCACGGTCTCACAAAAAACCGGCGTGAAACAACCACAGCGTTGCACTTGAAAGTTTCTATGGAAACCGGTGAACGCTCTTCGTAGGAAAGAGTAAAAAATATATAAATAATATTTAATAAGCAAAAAATTAAAATATTTACGGTGAAGCAAAAATTAACGGCTTTTTGTAATATCAAGGGAGATACTAAGAACGGAAGTAATTTCAGCTCTGTTGCAAGCTGAGCGAGATTGAAAAGAAGCTTGCTATGTTTTTTGATAATACTACATAGACCGGCGGTTTTTCTCGTGTTACTTTAATATAAATATGAAACAAGTAAGAATGCCGAACGGTCGGAATGGTCATAAAGTAAGCGCATTTTACACGATTCTATTTTGTGTGGGGAGATTCATCAAATTACTTAGTAACTTAGTGCCAAACTCTTACTGACTAAAAATCCCTCTCGTTCTGACCCTGACTGGCACGCTAAGGTTGATCTCTATTTATCCAGAATAATCCCAGCGGTGGCCTCTACAGTTATAGGCCAGCAAAAAGTTATCAACTAAAATTACCGCAGTGGTGATAGCAGCAAGTAGAGACAGACTATGTCTCAGCCTAGTTTATGTAGAACTAGCTTTTGCCCGCGACCCCGTTCGCAAGCAATAGTAACTTCCTGCAGATTTTTGGTATAAAAACAACGTCAACAAACTATGTCTGTAGGTACCAACACAGAAATCGGTTCAGTAGTTTAAGCGTGAAGAAAAGATCGACAGTCAGACAGACAGAGTTACTTTCGCATTTATAATATTAGTATAGTATAGCATACATACTTAGTATAGATATAAATTTGATTTATATAAAAAGCTCTTACCCGCGGCGTCGTTCCCGTCATTTGACTACCTACCCTACTCTACCTACCCTACATTACCTAATCTACACTACACTACACACTATCTTACCCTATGTCCTTCTCCTGGCTCTAAACTACCTCCCTGACAATTTTCAGCTAAATCAGTTCAGCCGTTCTTGAGTTATAAGTGGAGTAACTAACAAGACTTTCTTTTATATGTATAGAAATAAATTACTCGCGTGACATCATTGAGAAAAAAGACGCCCACGATGCTCATGAATAATAGCCCTGTCTTAACTTAAAACTAGTAGAGCTTTATTCACGCGAGTAATTTGTTATTTAGTGTTTCATGACAGTTGGGAATGGGCGTTTGAAATTTTTTTTTACTAGGTATGTACCTAAGAACCTTCTACCTATGTAGGTTCAATCTTGCAAGTTCTCAAAGTAAGTCAGCTTAAAAATAAAACATTAAAAATGATATGAAACCACGGAATCGCTTGAAAACTGTTATAAGTAATTATCTTAAAGAGCGGCGCGAGCTGGAAGTGCTGGTAATTTACTTAATGCTTCGTTTAATTACTACTGGACTGGTTCGCCGCGTTGCATTAAGCGATTTTGTTGAATAGCCTTATCTAGGTATAGTTAAGCAGTAGGAATATATCTAGGTATGTTTTTATGTCCGAAATGTGGAAATTCGCCAAAGAACCAAAGTACCGACATAGCTTGTAAAATCTGCTGGCTAAAATGGCAATGGCCAGGCCATGTCGCTCGAAAGACGGACGGTCGATGGGCCCGAAAAGTGCTAGAGTGGCGACCAAGGACCAGAAAACGTAGTGTGGGCAGGCCTCCCGCTAGGTGGACCGACCACATCGTCAGAGTCGCGGAGAGCCAATGGATGCAGGTGGCAACTTGTTGTTCGACCTGGAGAGCTAAGGGGGAGGTCTTCGTCCAGCAGTGGACGTCTTCCGGTTGATGATAATGATGTTTTTATGTCGTCAAACGAACAGGCAGACCACCTGATGGTGAGCAATCAGCACAATGACACCCGCAACACCTAAGTAGTTAGAAGAGCGTTGTCGGCTTTTTGTAGCTTGTTAGGAATGTGTGGATCTGGATTAGGAATTGGAAGGTTGGGCCTAGTAACCTCACAGCACATGCCGAAGCAAATAGCAAGTTTTTTAGCCGGTTTTTTATGGCACAGTCTGTAGTATTCCGGTCGAGCCGGCTCTTTCATGCCTTGATATACCAAGCTAAAAAACGATATAAAAAAATAAATTCGCAGTTCGTTATTGGTTTCGTTCGCGTGAGAAACTAAGAAGGTTCCTCTCGAACAGGAGTCCTAAGCACTGTTGAAGGAATATCGGGACCATAAATTCAAATCGGTCCAATAGCGTTAGAGACTATTCCATATCAGCTGGAGTTGCGGCAATAATGTATGCGGGTTGGAGCAGAATAAGGGACGGAAAAGTGTTCTTATAACCCGTGCGAATTAACTGTGCACTCGGTGAAGTGACGTCACTCTGTCGATACGATTTGTCTTTGCGACTTTTCTCACAAAAATATTGTGACGGAAAAGTGGTTCAAACTCTTTGACATCATGACGTCAATGGATGGTTGTCAAACGTTGCCTAGAGATTGTAAATTTCGTCGTGAATTGTCAACACGAGTTGGTGTAATCGGTAAGGCGTGTGGATTACACCACAGAGACCCCGAGTTCGAGTCCCGCCGTAAACATGAAGTTTTTTAGTTGATGGAAGTTTTGTCGAACTTTCTGGAATTATTTGTGTGAAAGAAATGAAAAATTAAAGAGCGAGAAGGAGAATAAATAAAAATGAATAACGAAATTATTGGAAGGTTCTGGAGGCATGACGATCAAAAAGAATAACGAAATTGAGTGTTCCAGAACCTGACCGGGGGTATATAAGCGGAACTGCGGCTCACCGCTGGCAGTTGAGTTCTAAGTCCAAAGCGATTCGGAAGAAAAGGAAGAAGTGAAAAAGAAGAAAAGTGAGTGAAATAGTGAAGTGCAGTGAAATAGCGAAGTGCAGTGAGTTAAGTGAAAGTCAGCGTGAACTGTGAGCGGCAAACGGAAGTTTGTGTCAGTCGCCCGGACTCTGCTGGAGAGGAACGCCGAAAACTTAACTCGGTGGACGCTGTCATTTAAGTGCAATAGAAAGTCTGAAAACCGGTATTAGTGTTTAATTTCATCCAATCCCGCAACCCAAGCCCGCATAGTCAGGAACGTGACGTCAGGCACGTAACAATATTATTAATCTTTGCTTTTTAATAGCTGTTTTGCTTTTTTGTCGTAGTGATATTTATAATACTTAGATATAGGTAAGTAATTCGTATTAAAGAGAAAGAGGCGAATTCCAGTAAGGTTCACAGTTGATTCGTACTATACTTGTTCTACCGAAGGTGAGAGATGTCACTTGATGATTTTCCCCCTCAAAAACAAAGACTTTTCTATGTAAACAAATTAAACCTTTCTCCTTTGTATTTATTAAGTACTAATTACTGAGCAAGAGCCAACTTGCAAGAACAACGTAATTACTAATTATCCTTGAAACTTTTAACGCAAGGTTTCCGTTAATTAGAGGTTCAACTTATTTCATCATGTAGGGTACAATAAATGTTACAGATAATAAATATATACAATATATGTTTAATGTTGACAATAAGGCTAATTCAGAATTGAAAGTAGAGAAACCATTGGCTCAGTCAGTTTGTTATAATTTTAGACAAGCTCGTCATAACAGTTTTGAAGTTGAGGTCTTTAAAAATATTTCTCATGGAAGAGAACGAACTTCAAACGCACATGTCGACATTTAGAGTCATATTAAGGCTCTTATTCAAACTAATATTATAAACGCGAAAGTGACTCTGTCTGTCTGTCTTTTCTTCATGCCTAAACTAATGAACCGATTTCTGTGAAATATGGTTCAGACATAGTTTGGAACTCGAGAAAGGACATAGGATAGTTTTTATACCAAAAACTCCAGGAAGTCACTATTACACGCGAACAAGGTCACAGGCAAAAGCTAGTAATCAATATTCGCAGAAACTGTTATCATGTCTCAAATGAAACAACAATCAAACACCAAAATAATCATCTGTTTGAAACCACTAGACCATGGGCCCTTTCAATTAGATTATACAAAGTTCAAACAATGGGACAAACGTATTATCCGACCCACTGATCTCGGTTTGATAAATATTCCGAGAATTTCTCTAAATAAATCTCCATTGTGACTGTTATTAGGTATTGTTTCTTGTATTTTGTTTTTTTTCGATGAAAATCGAACGGTACGTACGTCCGGAGTCGCGGGCAAAAAGGCTAGTACAAAATACTGGGTCATTTTAACGCCACGCTGGAGTGTGTCCTTAAGAAGTTCGCACCAAACCCCCTAAAGATTTGGTCGCAAGGCACAAAACATAAAAGATATCAGCTTTTTACACATAGATCAGCATATGCCAATAACATGGTATACACTAGCCTAATTTCCAGCCATTCTGTTTTTGTTTTCTCTGACGAAAACAACCAATTCACTTCGCGTAAACAAACAGCAATGAATAAACGGCGCGAGGAACACGTATACAGAATGATTAAATATTTACCTCCGACCGATATTCGAGTACATTAGCGAATGCTACCCATTCGTATGCTTGTAATGAGTAATACAGCGAGTGGTCGATGTGGACTCATGGCAAATAACTGATAACGCTACAATTCATTGCACAAAGGGGAATATTTCCAACGCAGAGACCGTTCTTGTTTTTCGCTATAAAGTTGAATTTGGAACTGGTTTTTAACCGAATATGAACGAACTGATAAAAGACAATGGAGTTCTTTTTTTTAATTGATGAACCAGTTGATCATTGTCATCAAATAAATTAAATAAAATCAGTCTGATTTCGTCCACTGCTGGACATAGGCCTTCCGCCTGCCCGTTTTTTTTAAACGTTACCCTACACTAGAATTTTCTCCTGTGTCGTGGGTGTGGTTACAAACATACAATTTCACATACACATGACACCCAGACCCGGAACAAAAATTTGTGGATCACATAAAGAGTTGCTCTGTGCGGGAATCGAAACCGCGACACGTTGCATGTCAGCCAGTTGCCTAGCCACCGCACCAACCGTGCAGTCAAGTGGCACGCCACTGAGCTCGATGTTCATGTTCACCTCTTCTCATCCAACCACTGCCAGCCATCCTGCGGATATCGCCAGTCCACCTAGCTGGAGGGCGCCCTATACTACGTTTGCCTAGACCGAAGTCTCTAAGACATAGTGACAATGCTCAGACAGTTGTTAACATTTTGTGTACTTCTGATATTATATGAAGCTTAATTAGGACCCTGCATTAAATTTGACTAACCATAAAATCTTTCAAAGAATTTTAATCGGATTTTCGTAAGAGTTAATTATGCAAAGAATCATTTCGTACTTCCATTTCTCCATCTCTCTCCATTTCATTAAAACCTTGTTTTAATTCTGCAGCTTCAGAGTTACGGACGAAACCAAGTTTAGCAATATTACAGGAGTCCGGTCTCCCAATGGTCCGCAGATCAACAAGATCTGATATAACCTGATGTATGGCTACTGCTTTATACCTACCCTTCATAAGACTAGGACATTGCAAAAACTAATACCGAAGGACAACTTTCTTCTACATATCTCTTAATACAGGGTGTAAAAAGACACTTAACGAAGCCGAAAGCCACGTATTCTACCCATTATTTGGATCATTTTTTTCTTTAAGACCATAGCTGGGACTCCACGGGTTCTCGAGATATTGAAGGTCAAAGATGCATTTTAATTTTTTTTTGCGGAATCGAATTCTAAGTATTATTACAAAACTTTTTTCCAAACAAACATTACCTGAATTTTCGATTTTTCTAAATAAATTACGCATTTGAAGTTACGAACAGTAATGTACGTAATAAATAAATGCAGACCCGCACAAAAAACATCGTGCATCTCAGTAGGATTTTTCTTTTACAGAATTGTTTTGTTGTTGCGAAGTAAAACGTCGACCT